TAGTTGCAGATCATTTAACACTGCTGGTTTTCTGCTGACTTCTCTCATGTGTGAAAAAGATGTTGTCTGGTCTGGGGGTTTTTTTTTTTTCAGGAGAAGCAGATCTTACAAAAAGTTCATGGACAGCAGGAGTTGGCTTTCAGTGCTGCTAATGGAGAAGCAAAGCGCTGTGTAGACATGTGGTTAAAGATGCCAGGTAATCTGGATCAGGGCCATTGATTTATTTACCAGTCTACTATTTTGTGCTGCTGCAATGACTCCTGTACATCGTTCAGGATGTCATTGTTTTAATAGATCTATGACTGTTTGTTATTTGACTGATTCTCTCCATCTGATTATACCTCTGTGATTATTTAGGTCTTACTCCTGGATCCATCAGTTCTGGTTTTGGAGGAAGGCGCAGACCTGCTTCTTTCCCCATAAATAGTTCAACTAGACACACTTGTCCAGTGATTAACTGTGGTCGTGTTTATGAAAACGCCTCACTCCTTGATGGGCACTTGAAAAGGTAATAATCGTCTGTTCATCTCAGCGTAGGTCGAATACTTTGAACCATGTTCCTGTTTCCAAATCGGCATATTTTATGAAGTAAAATATCTTGCGTGCAGGTTTGACCATTCCCCTTGTGATCCAGCTATCAATCTGAAGGGATGTCCTTCTGAACTCTTTGCCTGTGTTGCCTGTGGGCAACACTTTCAGACCAAAGAAGCATGGAGAACACATCTAGAGACTAAGGTTTAAACACTCTTTGCTCTGCCAATGTTTTTTTATCCATTACATTTTGAAAGTCATAGTTCACTTTTAATTTACAGGAGTAAAATTTCAAGGCTGTTCTCTTTTTGAATCTTAGGTAAATGCATCAGCTGATAATGCTCACAGCCTCGCTCAGACCTATCAGAGGATTGTGTGTTTTGCCTGCCCTGCCTGCTACCTCCTCTTCAACCTCAGAGATGAGTGCCTTCAGCACATGTCAACCAAAAACCACTTCACAGAGGCTCTTTCCATGAATGGTTTGTTGAACAAGTTTTCCTTTCTGTACATCTTCATTAAAACTACACATAATCACATCTCAGGAGGTATTTTATATACATATGCATGTCTCTTTTACTTTTGTCGTCTTGTTAGAGCCCAGAGGAAAGGCGCTGCCGGTTCCTGTCCCACAGTTTGTTAAGAACCGTCTCACTGCTTTGTGCAAGGATGTACAGTTCAATGTCCGCTGCTCTTTATGTCACAAAGTACTAATCTCGCACCAGGCTGCTCAAGCTCACTTTAAGTAAGTAAGAGCTTATTCTAGCATGCAGTGTTACAGTGTTATTCTGTTGGTCATTTTTATAAAACGGACATTTCCTGTCTTTTTTTCCTTATTTTCTTTTTCAGCGTGCACTGCAGACAGGGCTGTGCAGTGGCCAAAGCTGAGAAAACAATAGTTCAGGTGATGAAACAGCTGCAGGTGCGAGGGCAGTGCTCCCTCTGCTGTCAAATCTTCCTCAGCCAAGATGAAATCGAGCGCCACAAAGAATCGACCCAGCACGATGTCGAGATCAACCGAACAATGGGCACTGCGCTTCTGCAGCACGCCAGGATGGCCAAAGGGGCACCGGGGGGAAAACAGCCCACTGGCCTTCAAACACCAAAAAGGATACGCAAGAAGAACGATGGTGAAAATTTTACAGCAAAACGCAAGCGGCTTAGTGTGAATAGCTGCATGAGCAGAAACTCGACAACAGCGTGGTTCTGCGAGTGTGGTCTGCAGTTCATGGAGGAGGCTGCAGCCAGTAAGCATCTCCTGGCTATAAACCAGATTTTCCATCAGTGTGGCGTCTGTGGCAAACACATGGGGGAGTCTTCCATTACCCGTTTGCATATGAGCCGGTTTCATGGAGGAGCTCATCTCTCTAACTTTCTCTTCTACTGCCGCAAGTGCAAAGTGGAAATGCCTCGGCACGAAGATATCCTGTCCCACGTGTCAGACGCTCACACTGGACACACCTACTTTGCCGAACAAGAAGTGACTGAGGACGTCGCCACAGTCATCGATGCCGAGCCGTCCACCAGCCACGATGTCTCCCTGCATTCCTCCTCCAAGTCCTCAAGAGTCCAGCAGAACACAGTGGAGCCATCTTCTTCAAAAGCAGAGCAGACCTGGATGTGCAGGATGTGCGAGGACATCTTTGACTCGGAAGCGGCCGTTCACAAGCACTGCAGCGACGCGAGCAGTCACAGCTTTCAGAGATTCATCTGTGGACATTGTCCTCAGAAGTTCTTCAAGGAGTCCACTGTTCGGAGACACTGTGTGAATGAGCATGACGGGCAGATTAAGAGCTCCCACTTCTGCGGCCTCTGCGACAGCATGCAGTTTGAAGTTGAGGGCGAGTTCTTGGAGCACTACAAGAGTCTTCATAGCAAGGACTACTTCCAAATGGATGGCGGAGACGTCGTTCAGCCTGCTGTTGCCGAGAGCACCAGTCGGCTTACGTGTCCGTGCATGAGTTCAGAAAAGAGCAAGGAGGAAATGAAAGCTACATATACACAGTGCATGAGGAATCTGGGCTCTGACGGAAGATGTCAGTATGTCTGTGCTCCGTGTGATGTAACTGTGTCTTCCTATGCACAAATGAAAACTCACGTCCACATGAAACACACCGCCTTGCACCTCGACAAGACCTTTGACGTACAATGCAAAACGTGCCCGGAGAGTTTTGTGTCTGTACAGAGTTTCCACAACCACTACCACTCCCGACACTGTTCGCTGGAACCCTGCAGGAGCTCCAGGACCTGCGAGAAGAACACGAAAACAGAGGCCCCCACTGCAAAAATTCTCAGTGCTGTGATCGAACCAGACAACAACGGTAAATCAGTTAACATCACAGCTTTAGACATCGATCAGCTACCGTTTGTTTGCATGCTGTGTTTACTTGTGTGTTCATATCGTCATGTGCAGAGAGTGAAGACGAGACAAGGGTGACGTCTCTGAACGTCTCTCAAGACAACAAGGAGCTAAAATGGCGTACTTCCGCCAAGGCCCAACAGTCCCCTCGGAATAATTTAAACTGCACCCAACTGTAGACACTCAGATATCGTCCCCTAAATGGATCTGCCCCAAAAATTCAAAGGGCCCATGTCTCATCCTTCCACCAAGTTTCGTGGAAATCCGTTTTGTAACCAACCAAACAAACAAATGAACAGTGATGAAAACATAACCTGCTTGTTGTACGTAGTAACATTTGTCTTTAAGTATTTACTAATTGTTACAGATTCTTATTCCCTTTTATTGTGTATTCTGTTACAGACGATTCAGATGAGGAAATGAAGCATGCACTGTCTGTGATTGAAGAAGAAGCAAGAGAGTCCACAGGTATGGAAAAGTATTGACCCTAGATATTAGTCATAATGTTAATAGTGTGCATGAAAAGTACATAAAAAGATTTTCTCAGTGTTGTTATTTGAACTTTTGTAACAAAGATTTTTATTATCTGTTTTTTTATATTCAGAGATAGAAGAAGCTCTTAAGAGAAGTCTTCTGGAATTCTAATGACGGAAAAGCTGTTTGTGACACAGTTCATCAGACATGGTATTGAAATGTTTTGTACAGTGTCATTGTATTCAAAATGTATTAAATAAGCATTACTTGTTTTCCAGTCTCTTCTTTTGTAATTGTTAAATAATCGACAGGACATCACAGAATTCCTCCCGGAACACTGAGCGCAGCCCTGATCACACTGCCGTTAGCAAATCCCATGTAACTGTTGATTCAGACACACTCCTGTGTGTCGACACATGTGCTATAGATGGAATTGATGACGCTGCAAGATGCCGTGGGCTGAACCGGTGACCCTTGTGCTAAGAGCTGGTGTCTCCAGTTACAGTCTCTGTTTTCATCGCAGACATGAAATCCAGTGAATTGCATCTACCGATCTATCTTGGAGTGCTGTCACAAAGGTCCTGAACATTATGTGACGGAATTCTTGGAAAGTCAACCGTTTTAAGAGACACGTTATTCTCCTGTGATATAATTTGGAGGGCAGGGTACACTATATACGAAAATACATTTCATAACATCTATCTGGATGAAGCTATGTGAGGATATATAACACCAACATGGGTTCCAACATTTGCTTCTTTACTTTTAATGCACATCCCCCTCGTCATTTGATTAAAGTTAAAAAATATAATGAAGAAAACTGTCAAAAATCTTTAAACAGTAGTGTGAGTGTGGTCCAGTTGGTTAACAGAGAATTGTAATGGCCATGAGGAACAAATTAATGATTGAACCTCCCTGGTTGTAGAATTTGTCGGCTGCCGTCTAATTTGAACCTCTGGTGAGAAGAGCCCTGTGCAGTTCAGCAGAGTATGTAAACAGATCCAGGTCATTTGTTTCAGGACGTATAAAACACATGATCTGAGTGTTACTACTGGTTCTGAGGGGTTGTGTTTTTATTGCCAATTGTCTGACTATTGGTCGGATAATGCAAAAACTGATTAAATTGAAACTTGGTGGAAGGGTGAGGTGTGAGAAAAATTATGTTTTGGAGCAAACACGATTAAGGGGGTTGATTTTTTTCCTCACCTTATTTAGATTTATGAGATCTGGAGTTTATGGACATTTTTCAGATTTCTTTCCTGAGACCTAAATGTAAAAAATCAGGCAAACTTACAGGATTGATATCTGCAAGTGTTTGCAATGTGGTGCGGCTGGATTGAATTTAAGGGGACTGTGTGGAGGTATAGCTGTAGCCCCCTGAGTGCTGTTTGAGTAACCAAATCATTTTGTGGATTCAAACTTTACAGAAAATGTGTATAGATCAAAACCAAGTTAAAAATAAGAACATCTCAAATTGAGGTTGAACTTGAATGAGCACTGCAGTGGAACCAAATGAAAAGAGCCTCTACTGAAAATAAAAAAAATTCATTTCGACATTTGTAAATAAAGTTGTAGTTCAGTCCAAGTGTTCTTTGGGGCCCAGTGAAGCTGCTCGGGGATCTGTAGGGTCCTCGAACCACACCTTGGGAACCTCCTCCTCTGTTCTGGGCTGCTCGGGAAGCTTCTGAGAGGAGTCGCTGGAGGAAGCCACAGCCCATGTTAGGGCATGTTGTCCCGGGGGCGCACTCACTGACCGTCAGCCGGACGACTCGGAGCGTGTGACCGCGCACAGAACACACCGATCGTAACCATCATATTATCGATTCACCACCATGGCTCAGGCGAAAATCCAGGCGAAGATGAACGAGCCTCCGTGCAGCAAGTTCAGCAGGACGCTGTCCATGGCGGATCGCTCCGGAAGACTGCTGGAGAGTTTGGATGAGCTGGAAATGAGGTAGAGAAGCAACAGGCCTGAGACATGTGCGTAATGTATCAGTGCGCTGGAGCTGCCTGCTGAAGCCTGGTCGACTGTTTCAGAACTTTGTTAAGTTAGGAAATGAAATCATGACTTCTACAGATCAGGTTGTCACACCTTTTCAAAAACAGACAACGTGTCACACAAAGTTTGTTGTACAGTGACAAAATCCGATGTGATTGAATCCTCACATGGATAAAATGTGATTTCCTTCATCCATCCACTGTGATAATAACCGTTATGTTCACTGTGACATCATCATGATGTAAGTGTCTGTGTGTCTGTACTTATATCTTTGTGAGGACTATTTTCAGCAGAGACCCGGTAGAGTGAGGACATTTTGACCGGTCTTTTTTTTTTTGAATGAGCTGTTTGAGGTTTAAGACTTGGTTTTAGGGTTAGAATCAGGTTTAGGTTAGAATTAAGTTTAGGTTAGAGTTAGAATTAAGTTTAGGTTAGGGTTAGAATCAGGTTTAGGTTAGAATTAACTTTAGGTTAGGGTTAGAATTAGAGTTAGAATTAAGTTTAGGTTAGAATTAACTTTAGGTTAGGGTTAGAATTAGAATTAGAGTTAGAATTAAGTTTAGGTTAGAATTNTTAGAATTAGAGTTAGAATTAAGTTTAGGTTAGAATTAACTTTAGGTTAGGGTTAGAATTAGAATTAGAGTTAGAATTAAGTTTAGGTTAGAATTAACTTTAGGTTAGGGTTAGAATTAGAATTAGAGTTAGAATTAGGTTTAGGTTAGAGTTAAATTAGGTTAGGGGCTAGGGAATTCATTATGCCATAAAGTGTCCTCACTAAGATAGAAGTACAAACGTGCATGTGTGTGTGTGTGTGTGTGTCTGTGTCTCAGGGTGGAGGCTTTACGTGAAACAGCATCAGCCATGGAGCAGGAAAGGGAGTGCATCCTGGAAATGATCCAGTCCATACAGGGCAGTCAAGAAATGCGCAACATCTGCGCTGGTAAGGCAAGACTCTCACCACATGTTTGTGTAACACTTGCTTTACAGGGAGATAAATAACCACACAACTGTCTGAACAACATTGTTGGTATCGTGTGTTTTTGCATATTCTTGCAGCTGTAACATTGTGATCCAGTGAGGTTATGCTTTGAAAGCTGTGTTATAGTTGGGTTGGGTGCTTGAGAATCTCAGTGGGTTTTTAAAAAGAATCAACATGAGAGTTTTTGCACCCCACCCAAAAGAAGACTGAAAAATGAGTTAGATTTCAACCTATATCTCAATAATCTAAACCGGCCTGTAAAACCCCCCCGATAATCACAGCGTCACATTGAATGAATAATGTTCACTGTTATAAAGCACGATAAAGTCGTTGCTTTCCCCCTTAACCGTAACAAAGAGTAACTTTTTTCACCTCAGTTTTACTGGAACTACTTTGGCCACTAACTAGTTGGTATTATCTGGCAAGTATGACATGTAAATTATGACTTTAACTACATCTAAGGGTGTAGCAAGTGTAGTAAATAATAATTTGTATTGTAACATACTATTTGACCTCAACCCACCAATGTTAGTTACCTTGAGTATAGCCCTTACCAAGATCCCAGCATGCAATAGGATAATTACATTGACCTGAGTTATATTGTCTTCAGATGACGGGAAGGAAATGAAGCACAAACACAGAAACACGTGATCAGGACAACAATCTTATTGTGGGGCGACACATAGACAGTGTGTGGCTTCCTACGGTAGATTGCACATATGTTCTACTTATTAATATCATGTCCACTATCAGTGTATTTTATTTATGTTGAGACACGGCATTGATTTGTTTGGTTCATGTCTTCTAGGGGAAAAAGAAGAATTAAGTTTAACCGCGAACCGTCTACTTGGCCGAACGCTGTCTGTGGAGATCTCCATCGGCACAATCAGAAACTCCATGCAGGAGGACGCACTGCACAAGGCCACGTCTATAATCGACGAAATAGTGAAAAAGTTGCTGAATGACATGGACGACGGCCGGAAGCAGCTGCTAGCCCTGCATGCGGCCTGCGTGACCGAGGCACCGCCCGTCGCCATTGACCAAAAGTTCCAGGCCCTTGTGATCAGCTGTGCCCTGGAGGACCAGAAGAAGATCAAGCGGAGGCTGGAGACTCTGTTGAGGAACGTTGAAAATGCTGAAAAGAACATCAAGATCATGGATCACCAAAAACTGGAGGACTCACAAGCCAATGGCGGTCAATAAGAACCAAAAACATGTCTTACACACCACCAATCTGAACAAACTGTGACTCTACATGTAGCAGAAACACTTAGGGCCAGATATACAATAAATCACAACTCACTACTATATTAGAGTGGTGTCTATGCATGATCAGGTTTTACTTCCACCCACTAAATATGGATTTCTTTTTTTTCTATCGTGTGAACCCACTATTGTGTGTTCAAATGTGCACTTAAGACAAAACAGCATAGTGCTTGCTGATAACCAACTGAATAATTCATAATGAGTCAGGAGATGATGCTGCAGTCTTAATAGCTATTTTATTACCAGGTTACACTTTGTGAGATCGGCATCTTCGAATAAAGTGAAAGAGTATCCCTGATGACATATGGTTGGTTAAATAGGTGAAGTCTCTTGTTCTGTTTCACTGTCATACTTTAAAATCAGACACTTGTTTAAGGATGTGAGATATGCATGCACTACCTCTTTGAGCAATACAGATAAAATCAACCTGTGGATTTTTATTCATATTTGCACAAAGCTGTTTTTTAATGTAAGATTGTGTCAGAAGAGTTAATAAAAGTAGAAGGGGCACCGGATCTGTCTGTTTATCTGGATCCACTCCAAAGTGGCCCACGTCTCATTTTTTTTCATGGAAATCTGTTCATTCGTTTTTGCGTAATCCTGCTCATTACCACACACAGCTGAAATCCTAACCTCTTTGGCAGAAAACAAATGAAGTGAGTGTCACAGCCTATTTCTGGGACTGATGGGAACATGGCAGCTATCAGGTTGTCAAGGTAACTGTTCCACATATGATATAATACCTGCAACTAAACTCTCCAGTCACATGCACATTGCATACACACGTTACAGCCCTGTCGGAGAGCTAGCACACCTCTCGTTGACTAATGAAGGTGAACACCATCTTTTACCAACAACATTTACACTTTTTTATTGTCTCAACTTGTTGAATGTGGATAAATGTACAGAAAACTTTCATTTGAAATTATACACTGGATGCTAAAGTACAATTTCATGAATTTCTTTTATTTAGGTCAGATTACAATCAACTCCCCCACACACACACGTAAAATCAGGTGCACAATTCTGTGGCACGCTTCCAGGCTGTGATACATGTATAACTGTTAAAACAAAACAAAAAAAAATCCAACAATGGTTTTTGTTGTTGTCAGACTAAGTAGAATTATCTGGGTTTGTCGATCTAAACACGTGAAACTGGTTTATAAAGTACTGTGTGTGGGGAAAGTAGAGGAACAGTAAAACAGATTATTACAACACCTGAGTGACAGCACATAAGTAAGGTTAGTTTTAACTTATGGTTCTTTAAGATTTGAAACCATCTTGTTGATAAAGTGCACTAAATCCATTCAGTCAAGAAGCAAATAAAAAGGCAAATGTTTACAAGTAAGAGAAAGCTGGAGAAATGATTATTTACAGATTCGCTGCAGCTTTAAACCAACAGCAGGAAGAGGAATTAAATGGTCAGCGGGGGAGAATGTAAACAAGGACAAGGCAATGTGGCTTTACAACCATGACTGAACATTCACTGATGTGGAAAAAAAGGCTTGCATGCATTACTTACTCCACACTTTCTTTTCAGAACAGAACTCTTTACATAGAACCAAACGAGAAAGCTTGAAATGTGACACAGTCTTAGTACCGATGGTATTTGAAGCAGCTGAGATGCTCACATCAGACTATTAAGTGATAACATGGTTTAATTAATCGGAACTTCGTTTGAAGCTGGGATTAACAGCTTCTAACACAGCTCCGAGATCAGTTACAAAACTTTCAAAAAGACAGGCATGCACATGTTTACCCACAAAGATGTCCTATGTATTCATATTCCATTTAAAATACTTTCAATAATTATATAAAGCAGATTTAATATAAGACTTTACACATATTTCTTTGTGCTTGGTAAATTAGTATCGTTCAGATAATGATTCTTGGAAAACAAAATTACTAAAAGGCAATAATTAACAGTTCACCGCTCTACTGGGGACTGAATATTAGTTTGGGAGATCTTTTTGGAGTATCCTGATTTAGTGAGAAGAAACTGGATTTTCTTGCATATTCAGGCCACCAAAGGCACTCAAGCAGAAACATACCCAGCCCTGATGCTCGTGGTTTTGGTAATACCACCAAGAGATGTTCCAATACCAGCATTGGAAATGCCTCAGATACTGCGGGACTGAGCATCAGCAAGTACGCAAATCTGTGTACCCATCCAATGCCACGTCTTCAAAATATAGAAATGTCACCCTGACTGAACTGCAACTTTCTTTTCCTGGAAATCACTCTTTGCTGCTCCAAAACAGCAGTTGTGCTGTAACTGCCACTGATACTGGTTTTAGAGCAGCCAAAAAGAAGTGATTTCTGGTAGTGTAGCATTAGCCAGAGCTAGATAAAATATCAGAAATTTGGCAATATCTCAGGCTGAAAGTCCCACGTGTAAAATGGCGACATGAAACATATGTTAGGCTTCCATTTCGAGCAATTTGAAGAAGTAATCATTGCATATTCCTAAAGATTTGTTTATTTGTGAACTTTGTCAGTCATGACTGTCAAACTAGATCATAAAAGAAGTTCTATGACGTTCATACTCTGTATGCATTTGTTTTTCCAAACGGTTTAACCTGAGCCAGGCCATACAGCAGTGATAGCGATCATCACTTCCATACAGGGTTAGAAGCATACAGCTGTTATACAAGTGGGGTTTTTGTTTGTTATTTTATGCATCAGTATCGGATCAGTACTTGGTATTGGAAGATGCTTAAAGTCCAGGTATCTGAATTGGTAGAGGGAAGAGAAAAATGGTATCAGAACATCTCTAATACCATCAGACAGCGAGGGTTTTTCACTCTTTATTCTGTCTGTATTCCAGCTCCTTCTCCCTTTCATCCCATTAAAAGTGAGCAGAATGATATAAATAAAACTGATAGAATACAACATGAGGCCAAACCAAAGATAAAAACACAACTTGTAACATGTTTAGTGTTTGAAATGTAGTGACAATGGACAATATAAACCCTGCATAGGCAAAGCTATGCTAACGTTAAAGAAAAGGTCAGTTAAATCTGACATATGTTAACAACTGAAAGTACCATAACAGATTGTAACTTGATGTATTATGACTCAAATAGCAGAGAATCATTAATTCAACTCATAATTAAGTGAAGAATTCAGATAACAAATCTTTGAATAAGTGCACTGTAAGCCGACACACAGGACTATTTTGTGACAATAGTTATCAATATTTGGTTATCCATAGGAGCACATTCTATTCTTTTCATGTTACATCCAAGTCATTGCAGTGTTAATGTTAAACTACAGCTCAGAAAATGGAACATTTTGGCACAACGTCAACACTTCAGTGAAAATATCACTCAACACTAATGTGATTCGTACAAAAATAACTCTGCACATAGAATTACTTCTGGATTCCAGAGTGTTTTGTCCACAATAAACAGCATAGTCTGAGCCATAGTTTGTTGACAGTTAGAAAAATATGGTACAAAATGATCTGTTTATCTTCTACGATGCATGCAAACATATTGTACGGTTCGAATGTCAAACACATGAATGGGCGACCAGGAGCAAGAGTGCAACATTTGCTGTTACATATTTTGATGAGAGGCGTGTATATCGAGTTATATATATTAAAAAAAAAAACACACAATCACTCACAGACATAACTCTTGTTTTTGTGGGGATTTCAGCTCTAGTTGTTACCCAACGTGTATACATATCAACAGGCTTTGTGTGCAGACCACTGATGGACACCCAAGGTTGAACCAAAATTGTTAAAGTAGTGTAGAGTAGTACTTCCCAGTCTGTATGGGCTTTGGTCTCTAAATGAATACAACAATGACCAATCTAGTCTGAGAAACAAATAGTCGGTTGCTAAAACTAAAATGATTCTATCTAGAGAAGGCTGCAACTTCCAAAAGGATTTTTACTCTTCTTGGTCCGTTGTTTGTTTGGTCTCAACGTGATGACTTCTCTACCGTTGCTGGAGTTCTGGTTGCAGACATTACTACTTGTGGTATTGAAAACACCTTTGGGAAAATAACCATTTATGAGTAATGTCACCTTGAAATTTTAAATCTTAAACTGCAACATTAAACATTAAAAATGTCTTACCTATTTTATTGCTTGTTGAATGGACCACATCGGTCTCCTCTGCTGTTTGCTGCTTGAGTCGTTGAAGATACTTTTCAGCTAAGTACTTAAAAACTAAACAGAAAGGAATAGAAGAATATCAGTAACATTTAGAAAGTGACTGTTTAACTTGCATAAAAAAAGATGTCCACATTTTCAGAAACCCACCCTCGTTAACATTAAGGTCCTCTTTTACTGAAGCTCGATAAAATCTCAGTTTGAGTCTTTTTGCCAAACCTTCTGCCTCCTCACTATAATTCAAGCAAAGAAATTACATTTCATTATTTCATGGTAGGGTACACTGCTTTAATTACATTTCAATATCATTGTCCTTTGCAAACATAGCAACTTACTTATTTATAACAGTCTCTTCTAGGAGGTCAATTTTGTTCTGCACTAGAACTGTGGGAATATCTCCAACCTCTGCTTCCACTTTCTCCCTCCAGCTGTCGATAGCCTGAAATGACTCCCTGTCGGTGGTAGAGAAAACCAGCACACATGCTTGTGCACCTGGAATATGGGGAAATAAGACAGGAAATCATTAAGTTAACTCCTTAAAAAAAAGGATCTATCTCTAATATATGACACATAATCCACCCTCTGTGAGGATATAACAACAGTGACATGAGAACAGTCGCATTAGAGAGTCACTTTGTTTTCAGTGCAACAAAAACTTAACCTGAGCACAGTGAGCAGTCAGTGAGGTCAGTGAACCAAAGCTACAGCGTTATAGTTTGTCAGAGTGGTCGGTGTCTTACCACGATAATAGGCCTTGGTGATAGCGTCAAACTCTTCCTGCCCAGCAGTGTCCCAAAGCATTAGTCGGACCTCTTCGTCATTGACACTGAAATAATGAGCAGGTAATGAGGGAAAAGTATCTGATAACCAGTAGTTAGGATACAAATATCCTACTTCCTCATTAAAGTAACCTTTTGAGATACTAATTACTGTAAACTAAAAACTACAAATAGTTTCTCTAACAACCTTAGAGAAAAAAACACTAAAACAAGTTGCTTACTCTATCTGCCTCTCCAGAAAGTCCACTCCGATTGTCTTTTTGTAGTCCTTAGTGAAGATGCCTTTGCAGTAGCGTTGGATCATACTGGATTTGCCAACGGCTCCGTTGCCAACCACGACCACTTTGATGGCCACTTCCATGTCCTCCTCCAACATGGTGGCGACGTCTGGCTGGTTCTCTCAGTTCCACTCTGCCCGGGTTGTTTTAGTGATGCGAGACGGACACATATACCACCTGACAGTGTGAAACATTGATTGATGTGAGGCACACTTTAGATATTAACCACCAAAAACTAGCTATGAGTAAATAAGTTATATAAAAGGTTGTAGGGGTAGGTAGTCATATTCTTCAAACCTACTTTTTCTCCAGTACAACCCAAAATGTAGCACCTTTATATTACAGATTACTAGGGCTGTGACAAATGTTTATTTATTTTATTGATTCATTTTATACTTCAACTATTATAGATAATTATATGTCTAAAATAACAAGATTTCAAATTACCAAAGTCAAAAAAAATTGCTTCTTTACCAACAGTAAAAATAAATATTCAATTACAATTTTTCATAATGACAAGAATTTAACTATGGAAAGGTTACACTGTAAAATATGGCCTTATATACACAATGACTGGGATTGTTCTTCAAACAATTATTTTGTGTGCTCAAACTGAACAAAGAGTTGTTAATTTTACAGGGAGTGACTGTGCAATGTGTTTATTCTTCCATTAGCAGGGAGAGCGGCAGACTCCACATAGCAACTGGCCCGTCCACAGCGACATGTGTGGAGCTGCTGAGTGCGACGCTAAACAAAATATTGTGAGAAAGCTGTTCCCAGTGGACAGTGGCAACCTACTGTGTGAGTATGGTCCAACAGCCTGTCTGGATTTGAGTCACAATATTTATTGCAGCAGAAGATATTATTCATCAACCACCACTGAGCTGCATGATGCAGTGGTTGTTAGACCACGCAGGCAGAAATGTGGCTTAAAATTAAAGAGTATGATCTTATATTATTATACTATCAATCAAATCAAATTGTATTTGTATAGATCATACTCACAAATCACAATTTGCCTCATGGGGCATAGCATGTGACATTCTCTGCTCTTAACCCTCGACTACAGTGAGAAAAAACTGCGTCAAAAAGGTTTTAACAGGGGGAAAAACACTTGGAAACCTCAGAGAGAGTAAGAAGTGAGGGATCCCTCTCCAAGGACGGACAGAAGTGAAAGAGATACCGCTTCTAACAGAGAACATCAACAAAATAACATTTACAACATCCATGAGAAAAGATCGTGTCTAACATGAATGAAGAAGTCAATGAATGTTTCAAGTATTTATACAAAACCAAGCATCTGACAGAGATTAATGGAGGAGTAATGACATTTGTAATAATAGTTGTATCGCAATCATTACGATGTGGCTGCAATGACATTATCTTATACATCTATTCATACACTTTTAGTTTACAGGAAACTACATACTTTAAATTTAGATTTTACGTCACCCGTGTTGAGTGAAGACTGAGGACATCCGTCCTGATTTAAACTTCTCAACTCACAGGCCAAGTTAAGAGAATGTGAACTAAAACACTGTCTTTTACATCATATTAAAAACGCACATGCAAATGACCTAATTCTGTGGAAGATAACACATCTTATTCCTGAACAGTGAGTCATCTTCACAGACTTTAAAACTAAACTTCAAAGTGGGACACTGTTCAAGTCAATGAATAAGGGCACAAGGAGAATTTAACTATTTCACAATGTCATGAGAAGAGCTGGTTTCTACATAGGATTGATGACAACAAAGGTAGGGCTGTCTAATAATGGGATTAAGTGTAAGCAAACTTTTCATGGTTCTTTTAAAGCCCAAACCAGACTCGCCTTGGTCAAGACGTGACCTGTTGAATGGCAGCTTGAAGTCCCGAGCAGCTGCTGGTGCTGCCCCGCTGAACATGATGGAGGATCCGGAGGATTCAAAGCTAGCTAAACCCACACAGAGAGCGGCTCCTTACCTGTAAAATCACGGTACGACTCCTCCGGGTGTCCTCCAGCATTTGACGAGCTAACCAGCCGGCTAACCCGCAATCACATATCTACAGCCGCCCTCGGCTCGTCTCTGTGGCGAGAGGAGGCGCCGGTGACTCCCTGTGCTAAGGTTACCTAGCTAAGGGTTAGCCACTTCTTTTCCCAGAGTACAGAACCTTCTGCTACACCTGCTAACGGTATCTAGCTAATGTCTGCACAGAGCCCGGGTTCTGAGCGTCCACACGACACACAAAGTTTGATCAACGACGACGAGTGAGTCAACTCGGAGACATTTACGGGATGGAAATCACGTATCTGTCCGCACTGCCGTCTGTCTGCGAGCCTGCGTATGAGCTAACTACGCTGAGAGCGGAGCTAACCAGGTTACTGGCTAGCATCGTAGCTCGCAAATGCTTGTTGCTTAGCAGCAGCGCCAGAGTGAGTGCACAGCGCGAGGGAGCCGACGTGGAATCATGGGAGCGTTTGTAGTTCTCAAGTCACGACGAGTCCTTGTCTCTCCCACACACACACACACACACACACACACACACACACACA